GGTGTTTCAGGATTGGATATCTTCTCTTCTTCAGCTGGCAGTAGTCATCTTGGGAGAAGTGAGCACTGCAGACCTGATGGTCTGCAAGGCGCAGTGTCTGGACAGGAGTGTTAGCATCCATTTGTAGCACAACTAGCCACAACTTCAGCATCTCACCGTCCGACAAAGGCAGCCTATGAAAGCTGTACGGGGTGTTGCGCGACATCCTGTTCTTGCAATTCGGATAAGCACAAACACGAACCATTGTTTTCAATCGATGCAGTAAAACTCTCAACTGTACTCCGGGACAACCAGTGCCACTCGGAGCGGCGCTCAGCATGGCTCCTCTGTTTTCTTCCGGCAACAAGCAAAGCTCTCGCGAGATGATGTCACAGCCCAGAGGAAGTGAAGGGTAAGGGAAATGCTTAGTATGCTATTTACAGAGATAGCACTGGCGATCTGAACTAGTCAGTGGCGACAAAAAAGCACTTTTAATGTGCAAACTTAAACGGGACGCATTTGCCCCCATATCTACCTTGCAGCTGCCGGCTGCATCCGCCTCCCTCAATACTGAACCAATTGTAGAACAAGTTGTACCTATGAATCATACGCACACATACACATGGGGAAATAGGGACCAGGTTGAAAAATACTGAAGTTATCCTTTAATGCAGAAACATTTTATTCAGTTTAATAAATAGAAACCAGCAAATCTTCATATCTGAGAAGCTGGGACCATGAAATGTTTTTGCATGAAAAATGACTTAAAGGAATATTTCACTAACAAAATGACCATTTGTAAATCAATGAGTCGTGCTGTGTTACTTTGAATTTGTGAAGAAAACCTTGTTTTTCTTGCATGCCTCCACGGAAAATGGTGAACATATTAATTTATTGATTGATTGAGGACCAGGTTTAATAGCAAAACTTTATCAAAGCATCCATTTTCAAACTCTTACACAACTCATGCGGTCTCATTTATCCAGTCATATACCCAGTACTTCCCAAACACATGCATTATCACCGAAACCTTACTATTTAAAAATGAACAGGAAGTGAAACTTATGTACGCTCTCTTCAAAGCTGACCCAGGTGTTTTAGTAAAACTGCATGGGTTTGGAAAGTACTGAGAATACAACGGGTTGGTGTGACTTGGATTGTACTGCGTGAGTTGTGTGAGAGTTTGTAGATAAATGTTTTGATATAGTTTTGCTGTTGGAAAATGTGGACCCCAATCAATTAATAAATCCATATGTTTGCTGTTTTTCCATGGAGGCATGCAAGAAGAACAAAGTTTTCCTTACAATTCAAGATAAGACTGCATGATTAATTGTTTTACAAATGATCATTTTGTTCGTGAAGTATTCTTTTAAATGATTTTCGAAACAGTTTCAAAGTAATTAAGTAAGCTGCACTTTTATATTATCATATGGTTTGTGTGCAAAAATCTTGATTTGTGAAGTAACTAGTAACTTATAAAATAATTGTAATGGAGTAAAAAGCACAATATCTTGATAAAATTTTCTCTTACCTAAGAAAACATAGATGAATCTTAGAAATCAGTGGGTACTAACAAAATAAGAGCAAATCATGGACACGAACAAAAAGAGATAATTTGTTTGTACATTGCTTCCTGTGCGAGGCCCAATGAACATACTTACAAGAGCGTGTAAAACATACATGATAAACATAACGTGTACATGTCCAATAGGCAGTTAACTTTTGAGACGAAATATATCTATCTTCATCAATTATGGATTTTTCAATGAAGGTTAATAAGTCATTGTAATTTTAAGAACTTTTAACATTTTAATTTTTTTTTTTTTTGTGGAAAACCACATCAGACACAAATTGTTATACAAAGCAGAGCGGTTTAATGATTCTTGAAAAATATCTGAAGGGGACCTTTAAATAATTAAAATAAATGGTAAACATAAATAAGTGACAGTAACAGTGAAAATTAGTGGAGTTTTAGAAGAGGACACTGATATAGAGCTTTTGGTGCCCTCTGTCGCTAGTATATCTCTTGTTTGCTTGACTGTGAGGCCATGTACCATTGGCATCAGTTTGCACTGCCTCACGTCAGGAAATTAGTTACATAATAAAATAATTTGCAGCATGTTTTTTTTATTAAACAAAATGCAGAAATGAAAAGGAAAGAGGAAATAGTATGTGACATTTGAGGCATTTCAAACCAAGATATCACCATTGCACAATGGCACATTTTTGCACGAACAATGGCTGGAAAGATCAAAGTTCAAGCAACAACTGGAAAAATATTCCAGATTTAATGGCCAGTGTTGATGTTATGTTCTTGGTATCTTTCCAAACCACCTCGATATTGATACAGTAGTGTGATTTTACTGTGTAATCTCCTGTGCTGTGAGAGTTTGAGAGGTCTTGATTTTACCTTTGCTGCACTGTTCCATGTTTGACCTTGTGTTGCATTCCCCAGGGTAAGGATGACATCACCGGGGAGCCACTGATTCAGCACGACGATGACAAACCAGAAGCCCTGATGGCCAGACTGAGACACTACAAAGATGTGGCCAAGCCTGTCATAGACTTATACAAGTCAGTAAGCACTACACTCACACATCTTTAGTAGCAATTTTCCCACAGGCAGCCAGTAGAGCCAGTTCTTGCTGTCAACATATGATATCACATGGAAACTTTATTTAAACAGATAATCTATCAGATGACTGGTCTTAAGTTCATTAACACTGCAAAGTATAGTATTATTATAACAGAGAATTAAGATTTGGATACTGTCAAGAAGAGCAGTCATGTGCAAAGTTGGACATAGAAGATCAAACCCAGATGTCAAACAATAACAGAACATGGAGGTCATAAGTGGGATCATGTGAATCTGGTTGTTTCTTGATTTAAAAAGGCTTTCATTCAGCAGTCAGCTCTCAAGTCTTAGCTGTTTTAGTGATCAGTCATCTCTTATTTCACACTTTAAATAGAACAAAACAGTGGTCAGCAGAACACTCCCTTTTCTTGGATGTCTTGGATGGTTGTCTGAGTTACAGCTGCCTTCCTTAAAGGAGAAGTCCTCCAGTTTTACCCATCAAAACTGAGGCAACACTGCTGCACATGGGAAAAAAAGTTGTATAAAGCATTTTGCAGCTCTTGAGGGAGCTGCACTAAACCTGATTAATTGCCTCAAGTGGAGTGACTTGAGTCTGAGTCACTTTGGGGCTGAAGACTTCAAGTTTGGATATGAAAAAAAAAATTAGGGCATGGGGAGTTTGACAGAGTTAAAGTTACCAGACCTGTGTAATCTGCTCCTCATCTCTGCTTGAGGCTAGCAGCTCGAGATGACATTAGCTGCCAATAGGATAGCACACCTGAATCTCAACCGAACTGTTTCAGTTAAGTTGCATTGTGGGTTATGTAGGACCCAGTTTTTGACATGGATGTAGATGTATCAGTTTAGATTTTTTTTTTACTTATTTAAAGGTCCAGTGTGTAGGATTTAGGAGGACTTATTGGCAGAAATTGAATATAATAAGTATGTTTTCTTTAGTGTAAAATAAGAATCGTGTTTCAAGTACCTTAGAATGAGCTTTTTATATCTACGTAGCGGGTCCTCGTCTACAGAGATCGCCATGTTGCACTGCGTTTCTACAAAAGCCCTTAAAGAACAAACCAAACACTGGCTCTAGATAGGGCCATTCCCGTTTTTCACATTTTGGCATTTTTGTGTGGCAGGATTTATTTGTTTATTTATTTATTTTAAGTGAAACTACTTTATTCAGTGTTTTTATGGGTTTAAATCACTGGGTACATTTGTTTTGGAGAGGAATAGACCTCTGCAGTTAATTCGGCTCCTGTTAAAATTCTCCTTAAGTTTTCCTCCTTAAGTTTTTAGGGAAAAAAGGGTAGCAAACATTACCAGGTGCTAGGCTAGTGGCTGCTCCAATATGCAAAACAGTGACGAAAAAACACGGATTTGCAACATGAAACTGCTTTATTCAGTGTTTTTACCGGTTTAAATCTCTGGGTCCATTTGTTTTGGAGAGGCAGAGACCTCTGCGGATAATCAGGCTCCCTGTCAAAACCTCCTGAATGCCTGGATCGTAACTTATCAGAGAAAAAAGGTTACATCACCAAGTGCTGCACAGGTGACTCTACGATGTGCCAAACAGCACAGAAAAACCACTGATTTATGAGGTGAAACTGCTTTATTCAGTGTTTTTACCATGTTTACTCTCCTGGTCTGTTTGTTTTGGAGAGAAGGAGACCTCTGTGGATAATTCGGCTTCCAGTAAAAACCTCCTGAACAAAGACCACTAAAGGAATTCTAACCAGGAAAAGTTTCAGCTGGTTGCGATCTGCAATCCTTACCGCTGGAGGCCACTAAATCCCCCTCAATCTTACACACTGTTCCTCTAACTGTCCATTAGTCTGACAATATTATAGGAGCACAGTGTTAAATCCCTGCATTTCTTATTTAAAATTCAAAATATGATCCTGCCATCTCCTGCCATTCAATCAGTCAGTATTTTAATTTTACCTAGCTTTTGTTTTATTTGTTCTCTCTTTTCTTTTCTCAGGTCACAGGGAATCCTGCACTCGTTTTCCGGTACAGAGACGGACCGGATTTGGCCTTATATCAACTCCCTCCTCATCACCAAAATGGACACACAGCCATCAGATGCCTTCCAAACCCAGACACCCTGACACTACTATGAATGAAGGGGCCACAGGAAAACATCACAAAGCAGCCAGAGGAAGTGGGGTGATGTTTGCACATGCTGGCCTCAGCTTTTAGTTTCCTTAATAGTAAGGGTTAGAGAGACAAATACGGACACCGATCAAACTGTAGTCATCCAAGATGTTTCAATCACCGGTTGGTTTTTTAAAGGAAAAGTTGTATGCTGCAAATATTTCTAGAGCTTTATTGATTGTTTTGATTTCTGCATTATCATAGTGAGAGGTTCAGATCCTTTGGGGCAATATCAAAACGGACCATTTTTGTAAATCATAACTTTATGCAAGCACTCACCAACAAGCAGTTTTTTGCACTTTTGTCTTTTATTATCTGCAATTATTCAAATCCTAGCACATTGAATCTAAACCATAGCACATTCAGGGAATCAAATTTAAGGTTCAAAACAAAAGAAAAACTAAATAGTGGAGGAAGAATTCCCTTTATTGTAGATCTCCAGTAGCAATATTTTATAGGGTAGGGTAGAATATTAAACCACAAATCAAAATATTAAGTGTCTCACACCAACATTACCCCAGATAATAAATGAAAGAAAACATAAGACATAGCACTTAGTCTGTTATCTTTACACATTTGATTCATTACACTTTACATTACATTTTTATCATGCTGTTGCCTCCATGAGTATACTCCATATAATACTGGAGTAAAACCCTTCAATTACCCTTCACTGAGGAGTTGTTCACTGAGCACAATCATTTTTATTAAAGGACCTCTATATGATATTCAGATTCTTTATATCGCAGCAAACAACTATTTGCTTTGTAAAGATATAATGGAGTAATGGCGTCCCGAGCAGAAAATGAAGTCACGCTACCTCTGTGTGGAGTGTAATCTGAGCTTCTCTGTTCTTTGTTGTCATAGCCAGTCTGACTGCACATGCATGTTAGCGTGGGTGTTAGTCCCTGTGTGTGTGTATCCCACTGGCTAGCTTATCACTGCCGCTCTGCAATGCGCTCATACAGTGGTTACTGTTGATATTAGCGCAAGCATGGCCCCACCGTCCAGTCCCCGCGGTTCAGCATCATTGCCTTTGTTAGCACTCTTAGCGCTGTTAGCACTGTAAGCTGCTAGCGGCCAGCTCAGCCACCTCCATGTTGAGAGCCGTGTGTAGACAATCTCTGAGTCATAGATACACTCTGAATGTCATATAGAGCTTCTTTAAATTCTCACAACAGTCTTAACCGTCAGATTGAATGAGAACAATACTGACATCATGTATTGTGTCACATTTAAAGCCAAAACCAATCTTTGAAAGGCATTATTAGGTCTTTTTTTCTCTAATAAGTTGTGCAAACCTGAATGTTGTTTAATATGCTGTGTATAATGCCTACAAGTCAGCTGTTACATATGCAGTGATCCTGCAGAGTCAGTTTTTATTTGTTTGGCTTGATCAGCTCAGAATATATCCATCAGTTACATAAACAACGTGCGCTATGTAAACTGCTATTCTTTTCTTTTTGTATTGAAATTCTGCAGAATATTATGCAATCTGCAACTGATAACATGCAGGACAATCTACTGGGCTGATGCTGGACAAGATTGAAAAGGCCCTCGCAGTCACTCTACAGCACACTCTGTGACTGGGATGAAGACCTGTGCACAGACGAGAGTGTCTTCAATGCTGTTACATTCCTATAGATATAAAAGGTTGCCTTGGAGATTTCGAAAATGTCACAGATGATTGTTTGTAAAATGCGATGGTTTGCAGGGTTTGCTCAACTTTAAGATACAGCTGGGTGTAGCTTTATGAGTAATGCATCACTTTTGTGATTCAGAAGCATGGTGGGGGGCGCATATGTAAAGGTCTAATCTTTCAAACTGTTTGTATAAATCGCTTTTGCAGTGTGAACAACTTTGTGAGTTTTTTTAAAATAGTTTTTTGTAAGTGATTGGTAAAAGTTTGCAATCATTTCTCACCCTACAGAAAAGCTTGTTGTCCATCATCTGAAGTTAAAACATAGGTCACATTTTCACCCAATGGCACAGCAGTTAGCTCTTTACAATAACTTAAGCACACTAGTGACTAGACTAATCTGTGCAATAAACACCAACATGTACAGCTCTGTTAAATGCTTCACTTTATAGTAAAATGTTACTACTTTATTTTTTTTTTGTGAAGCCTCAAAATGGCAACATGCACTAATTCAGGAATTAGCCATAAGTGACCCATCACATGCATTATTTTAAGACTTTCTTTCATGAGGTCAAGACTGCATTGTATCAATGTTTTTTTGTGGCGTTTCTTTCCTCATCTATGGTCTAAAGATAGAAGGTGTTGTATGTTGTACAGATTGAAGGCCGCTGAGACAGTAAAAGACCAAAGATGCAAAAAAAGAAGAACTCTAACACTTCTATTTGATAATGTTTTTGCTTGAGTAACAAGAGGGTAAGATGTCTGACGAAGCAGGGATGGGATGAATCTGTGGGAAGAGTTAGAGCATGTGGTTTACACCTTGGTTTTATGTCGGGGAGCACAATATGCAAGTCTGTGTTGAATGAAAGGGTGTGGTGTCAAACTGTTATGTTGTATGTGACCACACCCCACTGCTGTTGTGTAACACCAGGATTTTTTTTTCTTCACTATTTTCAAAACTGTGCTGTCCAAACATGTTGCATTCCAAACACAATAAAACTATTTTCTCAAGGCTGCTTTCACTGTTTTTGTATGTGATACCCAACAAAACTGTGCAGAATCTAACTGTGTGGGAGACTGCCAGCTACTTCATACTTTGGTGGGGTGTAGACAGATTTTTTTTTAGATTATTTAACCCTTACTTCACAGTTCAAACACACTGTAAGCAAGAGGGCAGTGTAACCACACACAAAAACACTAACTCTGTGAATGATAAATCTTTGATTCTAAGTGATGCCTGGTTAAACTGCACATAACCTACTTTGAAGACTCTGGGTATGCACCATAGGCTGTTTTTGCAGCACATAAAAATAACAGAAAGGCTTTGCTCCTCCCTTCTTTACGCCTTGATCTTTCACACCACGTGAGAAAAACAGGAAGCAGCACGAGGGTGTGCTAACTGACTAAACACAAAACCCATGGTGGATATTTACGCACAGAAACACACATGCACACACAGGCGCGCGCATCCGAGTACATAGGAATAGTGTCTACATCTCCTCTCGCGTCTAATCCTCCCAGATCTGTAAATAAACCCTGTGTGCATCACAGCTTGGATTACAGTCTCATCTGCTGTGTTTACCTTTTGACAGAAGGTGCAGCGCTGTGTTTTGTGCATGCATGACGCATAATGCAGATTCGTGTATTCCTGGTGCGTCCAAAACCTGAAACGCAGGGTGCTTTTTAAGGCTTTTAAATCGCCTCATGAGCACTTGCAGTTCCTATGGGGACCCCTGCTGTAGAGAAGTGGTGCTCAGCTGTTCTGAGACATAAAAATGATGCATAATAATTCTTGTTTTATTGGTGCATCGTGTCACCAGTGTTGATAGCCACCCTGCTGCCCTTCTCTTGTGTGATTAAAGACATGTCCTGCAGCAGATGCACATGCGTTACATTCAGCCCGTTTCTGAGGTCCATCCCAGGTTTTACCGAGCTGGCTCAGCCTCACTGACAGCTCAGGCACGACTCGCTGAGCGGCGCAGTTTCTACTGTACAGATCCACGAATATCCACTCTACCTTGCACTGCCTGGATTACGCGCATCCACATCATCTGCAGATCTACCAATCGCCATCGCTGGACCCCTGTTTGTTGCTCACATGCCAAAATGTGATTATTTGATGATGCTGTAGCCTAGCGCTGCCTCTTGTAAATTTAGGGACAGGTTAACAGGGAGATACCGGGGAATCCTTGCAGGACTTGCAGTGCGCCTCACTGGGCTGGATAACGCTTTGACCTTTGACTGGCAGCGAATGACAAATCAAAGGTCGGTGCCTGTGCGCGGAGCTGAGGTTCAAAGCGCATCTCCACCGCGGCACAAGACGGCGCTCCCGGGAGAATGGTAGAAAGCGCTCTGAAAGGTAAAAGTCATCTGTTTCTCTTCATTTGATGTGATTCATGATACGTGTTTTATTGGCATGGCTGCTCTCTTAGGCACATCTCTAACCGGGCAGAGAAGGAAAGAGCATCATGATGTGTGGATGTGTGGATGTTATATAATATCAGGCTGCCTCTGGAAATTCACACCGCTTCCCCTCCATGGTGCATCTCTGCTCGGTGGACAGAGAGGTTATCACCAGCATGCACTCACTCCGAGGGGAAATATTCTGCATTTGTTTCCACCTGGGGAGACAAATTCATCCAAAATCACAGGGCCTGTGGCTGGATGCGCACGCGAGCATCACCAATGACATCATTTGGGTTATTTTGGTTCAGCAGGTGTCGATTTTTTTCACATAGTCAAGTTTAATGAGACATTTTAAATTGTCTGTATGAGAAGTATTGCTGCTGCTGCTTGTCCCTTAAAATTAATGACACCTCAGGACTAGACTGAATTAACAGTGTGAAGGTTGGCGCTTTGATATCAGCTGGATTTTTCTGTCAGCTGATGATGTCGGTAAAGGCGTTTCAGGACACCAGTTAAAGGCACACAGCACCCACTCCGCAAATCCATGTATTATTCTAAGAGAACAGGTTTATTATTATCATTATTATTATTATTAATAGATTATAGCCTGTTATAGTATTATAGGCATTTGGTCGTGATTGAAGTCTCTTGCATCTTGATTATCAGTATTATTACAATCACCATCTTCATCATCCGGGGGAGGCTCCACACTGAGAGGACAGCTCCTCTCTTGTATTGTCCAATAGCTGCCTCCGTCACATTGCCACCAGCGTCACGCATGTCACGTGAGCAGCTTAACACAGCTTGGTGCGGTTTCATGTTCTGATCATGATCACTGAATCATCTTGTTTGGACATAAAAAACTGACTTATTAAACAAAAATAAAAATACTCAACAGACAGAATGGCCCAATTGGGTTATATATTGATGCACTAATGTGTAGGCACCACTGTAATGTTGCAGCTGGTTAAGGTGGAGCGAGTTTTATTTGGGCATCTTCAGTTCTGGGGAGTTGGTTTTTTTTTCATTTAATTTTTATTTTTTTATTCTAATGTATACAAAATAATAAGTCATGATTCATCTGATAATTCTATGCTGATTTATCTATCTGGATCTGCAAAAAATTAAAGTTACCAAATAAATATAGTGGAGTAAAAAGCACAATATTTGCCTCTGAAGTGGAAAGTAGCAGAAAATTGAAATGCCCTAGTAAAGTCTAAGTACCTCAGAAATGTTCTACTGAAGTTTGAGCAAATAAAGCCGACTTAAAGTAATCAAACTGATTTTACAGGAAGAGAAAAGGGAGATATTTTAATATACAAATCCTCAAAAAAAAATTTTTGACATCTATCATAAAACTTCAATCAATAGCCCAGGCTATTATTTGTTTAAATCACTGAACTCAATAGGCCTATATTTGGGACAGCCCTTTAATTCTGTTGCTCAGCAAAGATGGGACATACAATCACAACAATCTATTAAAACAATATTCATTCATAACTTAAATTAATTTTCATGAAAAACACTTTTGATTATTTTGATCAGGGGACCATTCCGGAGTAAAGAAATCTAAATAAATTACTAAGTAATCAAGGAACAGACACATATTCTGACTTTATGACAGTTTCAGAGGAAGGGAGTCACCACTTGTTTTTCATCATACCTGTAAATCTGAATGAATTACGGTCTTCTCTGGTGCTCACGGTTTCAGTAAAATGAAATGAACTGAGCTAACGATGTGTAGCATCTCCATAGTGACAAAAGTGTAAACATTTATAGTTGTATGTGCAATCTAAACAGCTAACCAACGTTAGCTCAAGTGGGTTGCCAACAACCCAGTTTTATACATCCAAAAAACGTCTCTGAAAATGAACTGCTTGGCAACTAGACCAGGCCTCTAATTGAGACAGGCCTTTATTTGATATTTGTCGCTACACCAGGCTAGTAAAAGGGACGGGCATTTAATTGGGACTAGGCTATTAATTGAAGTTTTACAGTACTTAGCATGTGACGAGATAAATTAATAATCAGCACAAGGATGTAGAAAACTTGAAAATGTGTTTACGATTTCGTGGTGTCTTTAAACTATTTCACCATCGAGGAATAGATTTTCTATTTGCAATGTACCTGTAAATGGCACATTTAAAAGAGCAGGTGTAAAAGGGGTTTACTGTACACAGTGTAGTGTAGAATATACACAGGTATATGGGGTATACCCTTTACCTTTTTTTGGCTGTTTACAATACACCCACCTATCAGCCAACAGCCATAGAAATATAAAGCAGAGTTTACCCACTTCCTCCTTGGTAACCTACCTATCTATATATTTCTATGAAGACATGTAGCAGCCAGTGCGTATCTGTTAGGCTTCAGTTTTTACCACAGAACAAGAATCGTTGGATTACAGCATCTAAAGTCTGACAGATTTAGCTCACAGATTCAAGTCCACCGTCTGTCTTGTCAAGTAAGACCTACAGCTGATCCAGCAGATTCCTGGATTCTGCTGTAACTGTTATGGGGATAATCATTAATCCTCAATTCATCCTTGAGAGTCGTGGTAAAAACCACTGAAGAGATTCAAGGCCACAGTCAGTATCATAGCAATGTCATAAAACTGTTAAAATGGCACTGAGCTTTGCTTTCAGGCCTAAAGGCTTTTAGGAATTATTAAAAGGGGGATGTAACTGACTGCCTCCAAAGTCAACATTACTCAGTGTCCAAGGAGCATGTGCAGCCGGTGTGTCACAGTCAGGTCTTTGAAAACCTGTCTTACAGTGTCCCTGATGTAGCTAAAGGTCACTAAAGGAAGTGCTGTGTCAGCTTTATTGTGGGCATTTACTTTTGTTGTGAGCCATTTGCCCATATTTGTGCAATGGTGGGCTAACACTCATAAGGGTTGGACTAGGATCCACAGTACAGTGCCTTCAATTTTGGTTAAAACATTTGTATTAAGACATATAAGAAGTCTGATATAGGCCAAAATATATATGTTTTATTAATGCAAAATCTGTAATGTTGCTCAATTTGGAGTATATAGTTTTTTTTTTATTTAAAGGCTGTATTATTTTCATTGTTGATTAATCTGATGCTTTTACCCTCACTTAACTTATCTTTTTGTCTTTTAGATGCCTAAAAAACAGTTAACAGTGCAATTATAATTTCCCAGAGCCTGAGGTGACACATCCAGATTGTACGTTTTGTCTAACCAACAGTACAAAACCCAAAAACTATCAAAAATGACAAAGAAAAACAGCAAATCTTCACATCTGAGAAGCTGGAAATGTTTAATATTTGGAAAATTTTGCTTGAAATCGAAAGAAATGATTAACAGAATAGTTTATCTTAAAGTTTTCTGTCCATAGATCACACAGTGAATATACTGTTTTATCTCTCTCTCTCTTGTGTTTTTTGATTGTGTTTTTGTCATGTTTTTATGTGTAAACCTTCAATTGTGGCAGATACTATGATGTCCTCACCGTACCTGCTTGCTGCATAAACAGTCACACTCATAAGGGCATCAGGGGGTAAATATTGGTAGGCACGGCTAGGACAGGAAGCTCCATGGCAAAAATGGAGCGGCAGCACTTTGCGTCCGGTGATGGCGGGGGTATCTTTCCTCCCTTTCGGACATTCCGTTCCCGCTGTGCTTTGAGCTCCCGTCTGCTCTCCTAAAAGAGTTTCCCAGGCTCATGTCCTCTTTTCAGAACCATGCAGGGTTTCCGTTGCCAAGGGACAAGGCCAAGGAAGGAAGCATGCCATCACTGGTCAGTGTTTTGTCCTTCATGGATCCAGGGTCATTACATAAAAAAATTGGAGCTGAAATGACAAATTTGGGGCTAAAATTACTAATCTGTTGGATTTTAATTATATTACAAAGAGCCTATTAACAGTCACGGCTGCTGTGAGTCAAGGGCTGAGAAAATTCCCTTTGATGCAGGGTGAGTTTCCCCTTTCTGACAAAGTATGGTGCTGTTGTCTTGCAGTGCTGACTACAGGACTCCTCTTCTTTGAATCCTTTTATTATGGCACAGCCAGAGGTCCCTGATTATTTTCAGCACAGGACTCAATTAATAATTTTGCCCTATTATGAGCCTAGTTTCATAATTTGCTCCTTATTTATACCAAAGAAAGCAGGTCATAGCAAGAGAGGTTTTTTTTAAACGAGCTCAATATTTCTTTTATTTCCCTGAGGGCTTTTGTTATTTTAATAGATGACACTGCAATTTTTCCTCTTTGGTGCACTTTAAATTATCACCTGAGCCTCACCATGTACAGTCACGGTAACAGCAGACACTATCTTTCATACATCTGTAGCAGAGCAGTTACTTTGGCAAATATTTTGATGATACTTTGAGTCATTTCTAAAGCTAAAATGTCAAACATCTGCTGACACCAGTTTCACTGTGAACTGAATATCATGTTGAACTGATGGCTGGACAAACTAGGAAAGACCTGAACATAGGACAATCATAACGGACTCGAGACCCCTCCTGAGATCTGAACTTTAGTTTGGCATGCATTTTTAATTTCTCTCAGCTATTTGGGATCAGTAGGACCTGATAAGTATAAAAAACTAAACATCATCCCAATGTCCTTCAACGAGCTGATGATAAATTCCCATTGTCCTTAAGCGAGTACTTCATAATTAACAGCGTCTTAGCTTGTAACTGTCGCTAAAGTTGGTTGAATATGTAGTCATATCAAACTACAAACATTATTAATCATGAATAAATAAGTTTCGGCCATAAAATCTGATCAGGTTTTGCCCACTTTTGTGTGGGGATCGGCTGCAGGCTGACTTTGCAGAGATGGCTGCCATCTTGTTTTTATACAGATTAGTACATTTTGCTCTTACCACCACTAGATGGCACAAAAAAAGTGTCCACAAATGAGGAAAACAGGTCTAAGTTAAGCAGAATTAAGGTTAAGGTGCAGGAAACCAAAAAAGTGATGCCCTCATAGGAGGATGCAGGGTCTGAGGAGCTTAAGGGGGAAATCCACCCAAAATAGGAATTATAAAATTGGGATCCCACTCAATTTTATTGGCTTCACAACCAAAGACAACTAAAATACACCTATTATATTATTATATTAAACTGATGGGGACTTATATTGTGTCAGTTGTGCTTAATAGGTGACTTTTTTCACTTGATGACAAGCTATTTTTATTTTCTTGTTTTTTTGTTTTGTTTTGGGGTTTTTTTTTGCATGAAAATGTCCTCTATTAATGAGCTTTAGGGAAAAATAAGCCTATAGTATGCTCTACTCACAACTACTGATTAGAGTATGTGAATAATATATGCAGCAGGAACATGAGAGGGTTGTGTGTTGGGGTGGATTTCCCTTTAAGGCTACCCAGTCGGGGACTACAGCTACAGCAGCAATAGCAGCAGAGGCAGCAGCAGCGTCGTAGTAGAATGCAGTGCTGCTGAGAGAGAAGGAGGCGATAGACTGAAACAGAGAGGGAGGGAGAGAGGGAGGGAGCACAGCCGGCGGAATATTTCTTCCCCCAGAAAACAGAGGAGACCGGTCGTCCTCTCCTCTCCTCTCCTCTCCGGACATGTGCACCCAGCAGCAGAAGCAGCAGCAGCAATAGTAGCAGCGGCGGCGGCTGTGGCGGTGCTGGCGGCGACGGCGCGGCGTAGCCTACTACGTGTTTTAGGCTTCTTTTGTCTTTAATTCCCCCTTTTTTGTGTGCTTCGGTAATGAGCTTGCTGGGGGCCTACAAGAAAAAGACCAGTTACGATGGCTATGAATCTTTGCAGTTGGTCGATAGCGGCGGAGACAGCTTCAGTGTCGGCAGAGGGAGCAGCAGCAGCGGCAGCGCCACACTCGCAGGCTCCATAGCGGCCACCCTTGGACCGAAGGCAGGCCCGCTGAGAGAGGAGGACTGCAGCACCATGGACAGCTCAGGTAAGCGTCCTCACCGCCTCCGGCAACTTGGATGGCTATTGTACGCTGACCTGGAGAGTGCTTGAGTGAGATTGGATGACTTTACGCAGTATAAACGTGGCCTGTAAGTGTCATGGTGTAGAGGAAGGCTAGCAGTGGACAACACACAATGGCTAACAAGTAGTGGAAGTATACAGTGATGCTGTGTACCTCCAGGAACCCCCCTGCATGGTTCACAGTGGCTCCCAGACTCCACTTCAATGACTGCATTTATACAGAACAAGTTAAGGCATGTTCTAGTGCCATTGGTTTTATGTAACATTTCTAAAATACTATGCATCATGTGTTCTAACATGAGGTGCTAACCAGTCCTGCACATCTTCTTATTGGATAACCAGTACCAATGCATTTGACTTTAGACTGATAGGTATGTTTTAGATATATAAAGCATCTAAAAGTCTGTGCATCAATACTCCTAATATTTTAGAAATAATAAGTACACATATATTAAGCTATTCTAGTGTCCCTTATGCATTTAGATATGGAAACACGTGAATACTAAACTCATTTTCCAGTCATTTTTCAAACCACATTTCATAGCCTATTTACTCTTTTATGGTCTTTCAGTGTGAAATTGTGTATCACTAACTGTACTAGTAATCTCCTATGTCTTATACAGTTAAAAGGAATAAAAGAGAATAAATCCTGCTTTAGTTTCAGGCAACAGAGGCACAAAATACTCTCAGTTCAGAAGTTTAGTCAACTGGCTGTGAATGATGGATTATGAGGCTAATGTATCCAATTAAAACTCAAATCTGTTCATCATTAATCTGGTGACAAATGCCCTACATGCTTTATTGAATTCAGTCATAATAGCTCATTTGTTTTGACACGTTATCCTCATTACGATCAATTTTTTTCTCTGTAAAAGAGCCTCGTGAGAAGAAAAATATTGTGGTGTTATAAAACTGGTGCTACAATTACCACTGAGATAGTTTGTGTTTACGTCCAGCGCCAAACATTTGGCCCATTCTGTATGGGATTACAAGATGCAACTGTTTATTAAACTTCAAATAAAATACATAAAAATAATGAAGTAGCATGTATAGTTTTAGATAACATCTTTATGTGAATTTATTTCAGTTAAACTGTGTGCTTGATAGCAGAATAAAGACAAGAAATACAAGTGCAAAGTGCATTCAAATAAAGGCCCTTTTCCTCATCTCCCAGGTGATCTCCAAGTAACTAATTTGAATATTTTAGATGTGAACAGTAGACGTAATGTTTGCACATCATCCATGTTTACAAAATCATTTTTGTTTTTATCTTTAACCCATGTGGAGTTTCTAGTTAAAAAAGGTCAGTAGTCCAATAAAATTACCACTACTACGACTATTACTGCCAATATTACAACATAATAACAGTAATTATAGTGATTGCAGTAAATGAGTGCTAATAGACAAGTGTGTTTCTTTGTGACTCTTTGGAGCCTCACTGCAGTGCTCTGTGTAGTCAGCCAGCCACCAGGGATGAACATTTGTGTGAAACAAAAGAAGCTGATGAGCAGGGTGGGAGGGTCAATGAGGAAAGGGGATTGGGGTTCATGATGGGGGAGGGTGGGGGCGGTGGGCTCCAGTGTCAGATGTCTGTCTGGTCTGTCATCCCTCACGGATGGTCCCTTTCATGTAGGTGTGTGTCTGCCCCTGCCTGTGTGTGTCTATGTATCCATCTGTCCCATTCACACGCAGCCTGATGCTGAGGGGTAAAGGTTGGCACTCTAGAAGAAGGGAGACACATTCATTGATCTTTCTGGCAACGCCGAGAGCTCTCTGTTCTGTTGATGTCCTGCTCTCGCTTTACTGTGAGTTGCTGGGCTCTCGGCTGCTGCTGCCACTGTACTACCTGATGGAGCCTGTATCAGAGCCTCCCTCTGGTATCTGTATTAGCAAGGTTTGTCACTGTAACTGGCTCACCAGTCTGCACACTCCCACATCCATCTGGACACCGCCAGAGAGGCGCAGCTAACAGATTCACAGAGATATGCAGAGAAATAGACACAACAGAAAATAGAGACAAGGCACGTGATTTACAGGAGAGCAGAAAATTAAGGAGCAAAGGTATTCATTCACACTGTAATTAATTTATACTGCGTCATACTTAGGACGGGAAACAACGCAGGGAGTACGTACAATGAGATGACACAACATAGTAGACTCAGTTAGTTGGCAATATATGGCAGTTATATTGATTATATGACCTGATATTTGCAAATGTACGCCAATGCTAAGAAGTTAGCAGTTACCTATTTCTGATTTATCTTGCTTTCTTAGGGTTAGGATTCAAGATGAATCTGTGGGATCCCAAGATGATTAATGGTTCAGGAAAAAGGAAAGACATAATCCAAATTTAGATTTTACTTCCTGACTTTTCTCTCATCTTCTCTTAGTTGTGAAACACTGTAAAGTCTTACCTCTGTGGGTCTATAATAGTTATTCTAATAAAACAGTCTCCCAACTCAATGAAGTGTTTAACCTTTGAGTAGGGGTCACTTCTTCATTTTCAGGGGTCACCAATCAAAAAGTGAACCACTGCTCCAGACCATATATACACTTTTTAAATGTAGTGTTAACCAGCAAACACAGTTAAAATCTACAGATTTTACGAGAGCAGCAGTCAGGAATTATAGCCTGTGTTATAAAATACAAAATTTTAAAGGTTTAGGCTTAACATATCTTGTATCTTGTGTTAGTTATAGTTTGAGGCTCCAAAAATTAAACATGATCTTCATTGTTATAGTAATTGTAACCTATTAGCCCAGGCATATCTTCTAATCAGGATACTGAGAGCAACGTCAATAATCTAGCACTGCTTATTTCTCAACCGTATTACTTTATGTATTTTACTCTGAATAAAGCAGGTGTTTCCCCTCTCAGTGGCCTTGTATATATTTTTATTGATGGTAGTAAAACCAACCTGACTCTAAAAGTGATAGATTCAATTTTGTTATAGTGATTGTCTTCAGTTTTGGGGGCACTCGAATGTTACAGATTCGAGTCTATCTGGGAGCCCTTACTGCACATTGTTTCCTATCTCTCTGTCCCCTCATTGCCAATCGTCTTCCTACTGTCAGTTTGTCAACCAAACTTGCACACATTTTCTGGCAAGAACTTGAAAAAACAATATCTACTTACTCATAGAGTCAATGGTACAAAGTGGTATATGTCTGGGTCTCTCCCCTGCATACACCCACCTTGTTTGGAAGTGTAGTAAATCTGATGTGGATGGATAAAATCTAAATCAAAACAACACTATATACAGTACAAATTTGACATACTGTTTTTTATCTGTTAGCTTAATGTATGATATCAACTGAGTGTAAGCATAGCATACATCAGTTGTTGCCTGATCTTGCGAGATTATGTTGCTAAAACAGAGATATATCTGGAACAAAGTTAATATTCTCCTGATTTGTCTGCTTCAAAAAATGCCATTTTAGTGTCAGAATTTTAAGAAGTGTTGGGGCTTGTGAAAAATGGGTCCAATATTAACTTGAGTGACTGTAGGGCAAAGGAAATGGTCATAATGTACTTATGTTAACTTTTGTCATTGGAATTATTGGACTCAGGGCCGTGGCTAGTTTCCTAAAGCTGTGGGGTGATGGTGAAACCCACATGACACAGATACAGGAAATGAATCTAAAGTGGGCCGTCTCATATATCAACAGTTTATGATTTTACTTTTGATAGCCCAACACCCGTTATTAGTAATTAACCAGTTGATTTTTAAGACTTTTTAAGGTGACAAACAGCTGGTTGAGTTACCATGTGGAAGCATAGTGCCCACTGCCCACACTCCTCCACAGGTTAGTTAACATCAGTGTTGGCGATTGAGTAGGAGCTAGGTAGTGGCGTTGCTCAATTGCGCACAATGTTACTGCTGGTACCGCTAACGGGACAGCGTTGTTACAGAATGGTGACAACCCTCTGATCTTCCCCCAGGTAGCCCTTTTTTTGCCCCCAAACCCCTTTAGCATTGTTAACTAACGTATGTTAGCACCACTAGCCATGCTGACACTGTTAATGGTTCTAACAAAGCTAACAGTGATAGCATAGACCTAGTTAACAATACTAAAGGGGGTTAGCAGTGGGGCAATCTGGGGGGAGACAGATGGTAGGCACAGTGTTTCCACAGCACTTCTGTTGGGTCAGGATGGCATAGCAAGAGTGGCACCACTAGCTAACGTTAGCTTCCACCAGATCTGAGTGGTGCCCAGGGCAGTAAACTGAAGAGTAGCAAAATTAAGACCGACATGTGTAACCAGCAGAGATGGGACCAAGTCACACATGTGCAAGTCTCAAGTAAGTCTCAAGTCTTAACCTTCAAGTCTCAACTAAGTCCCAAGTCATTTTTTCTTGGGCAAGTCAAGTCAAGTCAAGTCACAGGTTATGTCAAGTCAAGTCAAGTCAAGTCCTGTAATAGGTCAAGTTAAGTCCAAGTCAAGTCACCTTATTATTGTAATTTTACCTGCAGAATCTGATCTTAATAAAGTGAAAAGACAAGATATAAGTAACTGTCGCGCGCGCACACACACACACACACACACTAACCAAGGCAGCGGCCAAAATCACCCATTTAGTCACCCATTTAGCTCATTTAACCCTGTGTTGCTCGTTCATAAAACGTACAGCCAGTCTTGTGATGAACCGGTCGGAATGTTCGTTCACGTTTTCTGGGGTTAATGTTAGCAAATAAATTAAAAAACAAGTTCCACCAAACCGACCCACCACCCAGCACCACCCCATCCCCGTATCGTATCAAGCTAACGTTAGCTAACTACCGACTAACCAGATAATATTAGCTAATTGACAAGCACTTACTGGGCAGAATGGCTCTTCAAATGACGAACAAAGTTTGAAGTTGTCGCCTGGCTGTCCGAGATGTTTATGCCGCATGTCTTGCACTGTGCTGTTCGTCTTGAGTGATGTGAATAACACTCAAGTCATTCAAGTCATCGTGTCTCA